AGACAGTGCGACTGGCACAGGACAGAGCAGAATTTAGGGCTGTTGTACATAGGGTCACTATGAGTTGCAATCGACTAGATGGCACATAACAACAACAACAACATGAGTTGGTTCCAGCTTGACAACAATGAATCTGAGTTTGAAATCTCTCTCTAAAAGTTATTTGAGACAATGCAAACAAAGTTATTGGTAAATGATGACTCACTAAATAATCTTAAGATTATTACAAGGAAAAGGTAAAAGGAATTATTATTGTAAACTAAAAGTGATATAAATTAATCCTTTAGCCTTGTTATATAAACGGTAGGTTCCACAACGTACTAAAGCAACTATCCCACATCTGTTATCATCTCTCCTCTTTCAAAAGAATGATATATAGTGAGCTCTGGTGGCCTGGTGGCAAGAAGCTATACTGCAATCCCAGAAGTGCATGGTTCAAATCCACCAGATGCTCTGCTGGAGAAGGAGAGACAATCTCCTCCTGTATCAGTCAGATCTGATTTGACGGTACACACAAAAAAATAATAAAGAATAGTTTTTTAAAAAAAGAACAATATATTTATTACTTGAACTCAGGAACCATTTAGATACCCTGACTAGTCAATAGGCAACTTCTACAAAATACACTCTTTGGCATTTCAACAGAAATATTCCATTCAGGTCCATTTTGCCACCTCCTTACAAATGTTATGAACCAAGATTCTTAACAGAAGAATAGTCTCAATTTTGTTTTGTTTTTTAAAACTATTTTACTGGGAAAAGTCTGCAGTCAGGGATCTCTCCAAAATCTAAAGAACAAGGATGGCAGTTTAAAGATTAAGGTATACCTACCTGCTCCAAGCTATGATTTTTTTTTTTCAATCACTTCTTATGTATTTGAAAGTTGGATAGTGGATAGAAATGACAGAAGAATAACCGATGCCTTTGAGTTTTGGTGCTGAAGAAGAGTACTAAATATCCCATGAACTGCCAAAAGAACAAACAAATACGTCTTAGAGAAGGTGCAGCCAGGTGCTTGTTAGAGGGAACAATGGTGAAACTTCATCTCGCATACTTTGTGCATGTTGTGAGGAGGGGCCTGATCTTGGAAAGGACATCATGCTCAGAAAAGTGGAGGGTCAGTAAAGAGAGGAAGATCCTCAACGAGATAAATCAACAGTGACTGTAACAATGGGCTTTAAGTATGTGGCAGAGATAGTGAGGACTGTACAAAATAGGACAGGGTTCAGGTATTTTGTTCATAGGATCACATGAGTCATAGGTGACTCAACAGCACCAAACAATAACATACACCAACATTTGAGCAAGAGCCTACGGTGATGAAGGAAGAAGTTCAAGCTGCTTTGAAGGAAATAGCAAAAATTAAGGCCCCAGGAATAGATGGTATACCAATTG